CTTAAAAAAATTATAGCCAGCCTATATTTAGATTGTCACTTCAATACGAACCTGTGGTCCTAAGAGGTAAAAAAATTTTTTTGTTTTTTTAAGAAATTAAAGAAGAATTGAAAGAGTAGTAGAAAAGTTTGTTCTGGTAAATAAAAATCCTTCAATATTAACTTCAATCCATTGGAATAAATCCTTTACTATCACTTGCAGCTGAGCAAACCATTTAATTTCTGCTATTTCATTGTTAACCAAGAACGTTTAAAGGTACTTCAAGGAAAGTAATTCTTGAAATTTTATGCTCGAAGACTTCTAATCTTTAGAGAGGATTGATATTTCGATTGGCAATTTCTCTTTTAGCCTAATATCCAAGAATTTATAGCTTCTTTCAACCAATGAATAATTTCGAGACCTTTTCTCCAACCATTTTCAGGATAATCAACAATAGAAAAAGCTTGTTACTGGATTGATATAAGACTTCTTTTAATCTTGAGAAGAAATGAAACTGGAAGAGAGAACACTATAACACTTTTTAACAAAAAAAGTATCACATTATCTTGTTCTTTTCACTATGTCCAATTATATTATCAGGTTTTGTGTTATATGAGATAAGACATGTGGGGTTATGTGTCTTGTTTACATTTCTTGCTACATGTAGATCAACCAGTTCTAAATTTGAACCAATTATCATTCAAGAATTCTGGTGCAACCAAAAATTCGAAATCAAACTGAGATAGACAAAATTCCTCCAAAAAAATCAGAAAAAAGTTTACATACTTGAAAAGATAAAGGGAAGCTTAAGAAAGCTTGAGGAAGATAAGAGAAGAGTTTCAAAAACTATATCAGTCTTTTCTAGAGTCTTGAATCTTTGAAGGAAGAGAGGAGGGTGTTTTTTCTACAGGTTCTTTTTCTAATAAAGTTTTCTTGCCTTTAACTTTATAGGTAAATATTTCTTATATTTACTTGCAGAAATACAAAAAGTTTATATTAAAAAAAGAAATGAACAAGTAGAAGAGACTGTGGTCTCTTGGTATAAGTATTGTTAATAAAGAAATATAAAAATTTCCTTGGAACATCTGTTTTTTGTATTGGCAAAGGAATTAACGAAAAGAGTTTTTTTATTCTTAGATTTACATTAAATTTAATAGATGGACATAACTTATTATTATTTTTAATAATATTTTGAATCTCATATAATTTTATGTATGTCTGATTTCAATTTTTAAAACTATATTTATACTCTTAGATTTAATAACTTATATTTATTGATTTTAAATTGAAATACTTATTAAAAAAAAAAAAAATCAGAAGTTTTATAATATAGCCTATTAGTCTTTAAGGAGTGGCACTTTATTTAACTAAATATGATTTTTGAATTTGATAGTCTTAATTAACTAGTAATCAAAGGTCACATTATACTATAATAATAATTTGAGCATTTACTAAAAAATAAATATATAGGCAGTCTAATTGGGACTCTCTACTACATTAATTACATAAATGAAAAGATATAGTATAATAAGTAACTTATATAGATAGTTAATAGCCTTTTTATTGTTCTTATATAAAATCAAATTGATATATTAAATGGTTTAAACTAGTGTTAAGACCTATACTCTCTAGATAGGTCCTTGCAAAAATATGTGATTTACTTTAAGTATAGAATTCTGAATCAAGTATTAAAATAGTATTAACTTGTTATCAAAATATATCATTAGAAATCTTATTTAAGAGTGATTAGCATATTACCAGATATCAAATAGATAGGCTAGTATTTAGTTGTTACAATGTAATAGAAAATGTTTAATGTATTAAAAATAGAAATTAATTCAATAAAAATCCACATCAAATGACATTCTATTATAAAAAATAAAATAAATAACATTATTATTATTATTATTATTATTATTATTATAGATATATAATTGAAACTATAATTAATTAAAAAAATATAAAAATTTTTTTTTAAAGTTGAATGGCATTAGATACAAGTTTTTGTTGATACTAAACATATCTATACAATCCATCAAACATCTTCTGTAACTGTTACATTACAGCTTAATGTTAGCCTATCAACTATTTTACCTGTTAATGCTAATCTGACACTCTTTAAGTATTTTTTCACATCTTCGGGAGGACCTATCTAGGGGGGGAATTCCTACCACTAGTTTTAACCACCTAACCTACCGGTCCAAAAAAAATATAAAATTTTAATTAAAGTTTTAAACAAATTATTATATAATAATTACATTAAAATTATAATTTTACACTTTAATATATTTATATATTACTAATATCTTTTGATTTTTTATATAATTGTTATAAAACAAATAAATTAATAAAAAATATGTATATTAATGCATTTAATAAAACAAATATTTATACTTTTTAAAGGTGTAAACCACTGTTTAAAAGTATATATTTATTTATGCATTTTTATTTTCTATTTAATAAATTATAATACTTAAATATAAAATTCGAATACAGTATATAAAAGTAAAATACTAAATTTGTAATTATTATTTATAACAATATAAATTAATTAATTCATTTTAAAAATTTTTAATTGGATGGCTTTTTTTAAATAGATATTACTGCAAGGAAAACTAATAAATTAGTTGTAAAATTTGTTATTATAATATTTTATAAAAATAAATAAGTACGTATTTTTAAATTTTAACTTTTGAGATGGTATAGTATATATAGTATGTATCAAAAAAAATTAACATTTTTTTTTTAATAATTTTTTAAATTTTTAATTAAATTTTATATACTGTACAATATTTTATTTTTTATTTATAAAAAAAAAATACATTAATAAGAAATTCGATCACTATTATTATCGATAATTAGCTGACAATGGTGTTTTATTGATTTAACAAGATTAGCTAAAGTATCAGTTGAAATTTTTTGCCATTCTTCAATCATGAAACATTCTAACTCATCAATATTTGATGGTAACTACTTTTTCACATTATTTTTAATGATACCCCATAGGTTTTTTATGAGGTTAAGGTCCGGGCTATTGGCTGGCCAATTGATGATCTCGGGAAAAGTCTCGTCGACAAACTCTTGGACAATTTGGCTCGTATGCTTCGGGTCATTGTCCTGTTGAAATCTTCATTACCTACCAAGCATTCTTCTAATTTCTGGATAGTGTTGACGTAAGATTTCAACGTAAAATTTGGCGTTCATGATGTTAGTAAAGCAAAATAAAGATGTCTTGCCTTTGATACAAAATTCTCCAGACAAAAATTTTTTGTTTGTTTTTAGAAAGTGGTCTAATTGGTTTATAGTCCTTGTACTATCATTTTATTATGTTCCTAAACAAAGAAAAAGCTATCTTATCGGAAAACAGGATTCATTCCCAACTATCGTTGAGATATTTTATTATTCATTCAACCTACTTTTTCTTATGAAGGTCCATAAGCATTGGAGTGCCTACTGGAAAAGCATTTTTATAACCAAGCTCTTTTAATTTTTTTCCTACAGTCGAGTGTGATATGAACTCTTTATTCCTGGAAAGTTTTATGGCCAAAGTTTGCAAAGGTAAGAAGCTATCCTTGTTAATATAATGTCCAAGAACATGTGCTTTTGCCGATCTGATCTTTTTTGGATGACCATTGCCCCTCAAATGTGTAATATTCTCAGTTTTTTTTATTTTTCAGATATTGTACTTAATTGTAGAGCAAGAAATGTTGATAAGCTTTTGGAGTTCCTTGAGCAAACGTATTTCCTGATTCCAGAAATGAAGAATTGTTTGGCATTGAGAAATTAACCTGATGTTGGACATTTTTTTTTAAAAAAATTTTTTATAGAGCAAGGCTCTTTAAATATGTCAGCATATGCAGGGGTTATGTGATACCATCACTAATATTATTGCGCAATTGTGTCAATTATTTATTAAATAATTTTAAAATAAAAATTGTAATTAAAAAGGTCAATTTTTTTTATACATACTGTACATTGTTTAATTTTTGACTATTTAAAGTTTGTATATATACAAGCTTTACCGGCAATAGAATTTTATCTTTAGTTATATAACACAAGTTACAAATATTTAATTTAACTTTATTTACTGATTATTGGAATGTACAGTACACAATGTGCAGAACTATAATAGTTACAATCTGCCTTTTTTTTTTATTATCTTTATTTCTATCTTTTGTTTTTGTTTTATCCTGTTTGTCGTTGTTTACTTTTCTTCTTACTTTAGCAATATAAACAATCCATTTTTATACTAATATTTTTATACCTTATAACAGTATGATGTACAGTATAATTTCTTACTTTGTTGAGCTTCAAAGAAATTATGTAGTACAGTACTGTACCAGTACACAGCAGTACCTAAATCCTTATCACCCACAACGAAATACTGATGTTTTGAACACGCCATATGTTGATGTTTAAATACGAATGTACTCACAATAGAACAATAGTACATAAAGATATTGTTACGTAAATAGTCCATACGTAGAATATAGGCACGGGTGGTTTATACACGTTATAATTTGGTTGCTTAATACAGTATGTTAATTATGTTTACAGTATTCAACGTAGGAAGTTAATATCTACTAAAATGTTGAAACAGTATGGTATGCATGTACTGTACTTCCATTTCATCGGATCAAGCATCATTCAGGTCCGATAACATGACATTTACATTTAAAAGAAAACATCAATGATTTCTTTCCGAAATACAATGCTTGACATACGCGTTATATTGTCTATAGGTAGGAAAAACGACCTTTGAAATCTCATACACGGTATATACATTTATAATAAAATTTTATATTGCTCCACACTATAATAAAGATTTTGGAACCGAATATTCCGTAAGTGAGATTTCAGACTCTTTTGTCTTGTAAAATGATCAAATTAGAATTCCTTTCTATAATTCGTTACAAATTTTTAGAGCTTTAGCTATGCCCATGTCTTAAATAACGCAGTAATTACGAATAACACTTGGCCGGGGGTGAGTGACCAACCCAGAACTAAAACTATCCTCCAATATGACTCCGATTTTCAAAACGTGATAGCATGGGGAAGCGAAGCATTGGATACTATATCTATATCAAAAAAAAAGAAAAAAAATAAAGCCAAACCTGTCGAATTATTTAGACTACATTTGAGTGATATTCCTGAATCTCAAAAACCTATATTACCTGTTGGGCTTGATTATAAGAAAGCCATATCCGATTATCTCAGAGAAATTGGTTGATATCCGTATCTTTTTCTGTGTTATTTTTGTTTCATTTTATTTGAGGTCATTAATAATTTTTCGAATTATCATTGCTATTTATATTATAATAATAAAGGAAACGTGAGTGATAAAAAATATCATTTGTATTTATAAAGCAATAGGATTATTGATTTTTTTCTTTTAATATATAGTTGGCAAGAGGGTGTATAACGAATCGTTGGCCTAATGTAGACTTTTACAATAATGTTCATCTTATACTTACTGTGCCCGCTGAATGGTCGAATCGAGAAATCGATATTATGAGAGAATGTGCATTTAATGCATCATTGATTAAGAAGAAAGATTCTTCCAATTTGGAATTTTTAACCGAACGTATGTATCAAGTATTATTATTTCCTGTTCATTTATTGATAAATCTTATTAAAATAAATAGGTGAAGCTGTCGCAAATTATTGCATGAAAATTGCAAAGGAGTATTTTAATATCATTGGCAGTAGGTATCAATTATCTGCCATATAATCTCACTAATAAACAGTATTTTAAACTCTTTAATAATACTGTATAGAAAAATTTATGATTGTTGATTGTGGAAGAGAAATCGTTAATTTGACAACTCGGGAACTATTGGAGAATGAATTAGGTAAGATTGTATCAAGCCATGGCGATTTTTGTGGAGAATCAGATGTCGAGCAGCAATTCTTAAAATTCATTACAAGTAAAGTTGGAGATGGCGTAGTTGAACTATTAAAAGAGAATGATGTCGGTCATTACCAGAATATGATTCGCCAATATTCTGAATGTATTCAAAGTTGTTTTACTGGAGATAAAGCATTCTTTTACGCACTTGATCTAGAAGAAGTTTGCCCGGCTATAAAACAATACATTTCAGGTAAATAATATCCATCAGGGTTAAATTTTTTTTGACTCGCTCATAAAATTTGTAATAAATACTAGGGGTATCAAGAAGTTTATTGGAAGAAGATGAATGGATAATTGAATTTGATTACGAAGTCGTAGAATCATTATTTGACTCAGTTATCAAAAAAATCAATGGATTAATACATGAATTAAATTTAGTTGAACCTTGTTCGGCTATATTTTTAATAGGAGAATTCAGCGAATCAAAATATTTACAATCAGCAATCAAGGAACGCTTTAAAAATATTGTCAACCATATATCGATTCCCCCCCAACCGACCTGTGCAGTTACACGAGGAGCAACCGAATACGGATTAAGAAAAACTACTCGTACTATGAAATTGACAAATGAAATAAACATATTGTTGCTCGGTGAAACGGGTGTAGGAAAATCTACATTTATAAACGCCTTTGCAAACTATCTAAGATATGATACTCTAGATGATGCGAAAGTTGGGGAGATTGCAGTCTTAATTCCGTCACAATTCACTATAATGGATGAAGATTTTGAGACGAATAAAATAAAAATTGGCGACCAAGATTCAAATGAACAAACAGAAAAGGAAGGAATGTCAGCCACCCAAGGATGCAAAAGCTATGTATTTCCCGTAGACAATGATATATCCATAAGATTAATTGATACTCCTGGAATTGGCGACACTAGAGGAATAAATAAAGATAAGGAAAATTTTGGAGAAATTTTAAGACATATTAGTCACTACGAGCACCTAAATGGGATCTTCATTCTTCTAAAGCCCAATAACGCACGACTGAACGTAGTGTTCAAGTATTGCATACAAGAATTACTAACACATCTCCACAAAAGTGCTAAAGACAACATTGTTTTCTGCTTTACAAATGCTAGATCAACCTTTTATCGTCCAGGCGACACATTACCGACACTTAGACAACAGCTTTCTAATCTTAATGAAAGATCTGGCGTTGAAATAAAGACAGATAGAAATACTATGTACTGTTTTGACAATGAATCATTTAGATTTTTGGCAGCACTACGAAAAAACATGAGATTTTCGGAAAGTGACATAAACAATTTTGCAGAGAGCTGGAAGAAATCCGTACAAGAATCATGGCGACTCTTCAAACATATTGTATCACTTGAACCTCATAAAACAGAAGAAACTTTATCACTCAACAACGTAAGAAAGAATGTGATGCTGCTTTCCAAACCTCTTGCCGAAATAGGTCAATTAATCCAAGTAAATATTAGCATAATCAAAGATCAACAAAAGGAAATTGAAAACTCTCACCAATCCATAGAAGATTTAAGAAGCAGGCTTCATACTGAACTTTTAGATCTTACTCCAAAAAATTTGGGTCATCCTAGAACTGTATGCACTAACAAGAGCTGCACAAAAACCATTTCTGTCGGGAAGAATTTAACAAAGGTGGACTACATAACACATTGTCACACACAATGTTATTTAAAAAATGTTGAGCCTAATTTAGTAAACAATGCGGCCTTGAGAGAATGTACAGCCATGAATAACGGCGAAAATTGTGGAAAATGTTCCTGTCATTGGAGTAAACATATGCATATTACATACGAGAATGAGCATAAAATCATAAAAGTTATTGATGAAAATGTAGAAAAATTGATTAGAGAAAAGGTTTCTTATCAAGATACGAAAAAAGCGATAATAGATGATAAAGAACAATATATAAGCAGACAAAAAGAAGAACAAAAAAGAATAAGTTCTATTAACATCAAGCTCGCACAGTTTTTAAGACAAAACGCAATCGCTGCTTACAACGATACATATGCTGAATACCTGGATCATTTTATAAACGAAGAAAAAATCAAGAAGAGTAGTGATCCAGTCATTTATGATGATAGAATTCTCATAGGACTCGAAGCTGTAAAGAAAGAATATTCTGAAAAAATAGCGATCATAAAAAAAGCGATCGAAACCAATGATCCTTCCGTACATCCATTCTCTCTAAAAGAAATTTCTGATCTCGTACAAGAACTGTATGAATTGCCACTCAATGGTCAAACTTTGAAAAGAATAAAAATGGAAGCAGAACTTGGTCGAAACTTTACGTTCAAATACGAAGAAAAACGTTACGTGTCTCAAGGGAATAACTTTTGGGATCACATCTTTAAATAGGCTCATAAATTTGATTTTCGATAATGTTTTTATTAAGATATTGATATGACAAATATTTCGAATTTAGTTTAGGTCATAATATTAAAAGTATCAACGATATAGTTACCAGAGGAAGCCGTATCTTTATTATATATTTATATTTATACTGTATTTACAGTATTATCAATAAATTATATTTTTATTTTTATAACAATAATCGATTCACTATAACTTCCTGCTTCACTAATATTATAAAGAATTTTAAAGTGGGGTTTTTTTTTGTCAATAGTTAAGATATAAATCAATATACAATATAGAGTATATCAATCATTTACCCAGGTTATAATACTAATGAGTTAGGAAATTTGATTACTGTCTTATTTTTTTAAAAAAATTGATGCTTCTTTGAAATCGTCGACTAACTCTTCGGGTTTGATTTGGGTGCTAGCTATACCTTTCTCTGCCAGATCTTTTTCCGAAAATATTAATTTTTCTGTTATAAATCACAAGCTCCAGTTTCTATCAGCCACACCAACGAAGTTGCAAGTTTGGACTTTACTAAACTTTACTAAACTTTACTTAAGTGATTGTAAAAGTACAATAGTCTCTTCTTGTATGATGGTACCAATTTATACAGCGCTTATTGTTTTATGTTTTATTGCTTCCTAATTATCTACATTATTTAGATCCATTGAGCCCCATTTTCCCATTACATTGGTTGTTCGAAATTATCTAGACCAATATACAATATGTAACAAAAGTCTTTGCTCATTTCAAATTAACTTGTGCCACGCTTCCTAAGTAAACTTTTGTTAGTTTGTGCAACTTGAGTGTTGATTATAACCTGTTTGACCTACGTTTTGTGTCATTTGTGCCAACTTCTTCCTTTTTTTTTTTTTGCACAATGGGTCCTAGAAGTGTGGAGAAGAAAATCAATGTATGTACTTATTCCATTCAACATTTGTAGGATGAGGGGGTATGTAATGCTCATGAAATACACTGTCAAACTAACATTCCAATCCAAACTAAAAAAAACTGGCAGTGTTGCCCATAAAAAATGAGACAGTCACTCCAAAAAAATCCTGCTGGAAGTTTCTAAGGCCATTGGACAATACTTCAAAGAGATCAAACCCTGTCAACACATTCATTAGCTACCAAATTATTAAAAAACAATATTGAGATCTCTCATATGACAGCTCAAAGACATTTAAACAGTTGGGTTATAAAAATAGTCTGCCACTTGCAACTCCATTACTTATGAGCATATACAAAGAAAGATGATTGGAATAGACATGAAATCATCTAAGTGACATTGAAAAAAACTTTATTTATCGATTAAATGGCTTTCCAGCTATTCAAGAATACTATACGACATTGGTATAAGAAATCCCAACTAGTTCACTATATGCCAAAAAACTGGACAAAAGTTTTTGCCTGGAGTGGGTTTTGTTATTATAGTAAAACAAGTCTTTTTTGTTTTCAGGATACTATAAATGGTTCTTTTTTCGTTAATATTCTTAGAAAACACTTTCCAGAAATGTACCGGCTGCTTGACAATAGGTAATGCTTTCAACAGGATAATGATTCTAAGTATACATGTTGCTGAAATTCATAGATCCTTGACGCAATTGACGCAATTATTTGACGCAATTAATTGAGTCACTATTAAAACATATAAATAATTGAGTCATGACACAATTATTTTTGAGAATTTTGGGAATTGGGTCAACAGCAAAATAATTTATGCCACATGTATAGTTACAAGTACGTCAAGGAGGACATGTTCATGGTTGACTGCTTGACTCTTGGAAAGGGAGGGCTCCCCAGGATCTTTTACTTTTTTTTTCCAAGAAGAAATTTTGAGTTTCCTAATTTAGTAATTTTTTTGTGATACAAATGTGTTTGGGAAAGAGTTTTTTTATTAACTTTACCATTATTCTAATACTTATACAACCTCAAATATATTGTAAGAATATATAAAAAATATTTTTTTTTTTGAATAGGTAAACACTATTTCTTTATTTATTTATATATTACAAGATATACATTTGTAAAAAAATAACATTTCTCACATACAATTTGCAATAAGTTTAATACTAACCTGCCTATAGTAATTATTTAACTTCTACTAGAAAAGTTATTTTAAAACTAACATACTAATCAAATGATGCCAAGCAGCTATATATATCTACCCAAAGCTATTTTGAGAAATAAAATTATGATAATTTGAAATAAAATTAGAAATACATAATGAAAAGTTAAGATTGTTTTGGATAAATATTTCTGTAACTAGTGTAGGAATATTAACTGTTGTACTATTATTTTGAAAATTCGAACTAGTGTCGATATAAGAAGTGAAGTTGGTTTTTGAAGTGCTTGCATTGGAGTTATAATTATTTTTGTTACTATTGCTGGCTTTGTTACTATTTGTTTTTATTGTTTTGTTTAATTTGATACTAATGGATAGTAAAGTATTTCTGTGCTGCAATAGGGTTTTCATGTAAAATTGTAAAACATTGTAAGAGCTTTGGTGAATGCTTTGATCCAGTTGTGGATATTGGTTGTAAAGACTATATTTGTAATGATTCTGTATACTAATTTCACTATTTGTTACGTGTTAGAAATTAAATGGTTACTGTTGTCTGAATAGAAAATTGCATTAATTGAGTTGATGATTTGCTTGGCTTCTTTTTTTGCTTCAGAACAGTTGAGAATGTGGAAGATAATTTCTAATCGAAAACTGCATTTGAAACAATATGGGTTCTTATAATGTTCATAATATAGGTTGTGAAGAAATTCTTATAAAGGAAGGGTATCTGAAAATAATTTGATTCTAAATGCTACTAGATTATTGTAACTGTTATTATAAAGTCCTTTTATTTGTTTGTTGAATAGATTAATTACTTTGAGATTAATGGTGTTATAAGATTGATTAAGTGTTTTAAATACAAAGGAGCTCTTATATATTATGTAAGAGCTAGTAATGCTAAAGATTTTCTTGCACCATCTTGAACTTTTCAAATCTGTATGGTTTATGTTAGGGTTCTCTATGAAGTATAGAGGTGGATTGTTCCATTGTATATTACTGATAGATCTTGGATTGGATTTAGGTTTGACAAGATTGAGATTAATAGATTTCTGTGCTGCCATATGTATGATTCTTGATATTAAGGTGGCAAAATTAATTTTTGTTCATTTTTTAGGAAAGCTAGGAGGGGTTTGAATAATATTTTTGTTGTTTCTAATTTTGATAATACACTGGATAGGACACCATTGCAAGATCTCATAAATAATACAAAGCATGTTACCCATTAGTAGTCTTGTATTTGTCATTATAATTTTGATATTGTTGACCACTATATCTTGTTTGACAAGTTGAATATGATATGAATTGTAAAGATCAATTGCTTGAAGTAGTGAGAGAATTAATGGCGCAGATGTAATATTTACTAAATAAACAGCAAGTTTATTTTTGGATGAAGAGATTACTAGTTTTTCTATAATATTGCATAGGTGATACTTGGAGTTGGGTAAGATTTTATTGATTGTCTAGAATAAGAAAGTATTGATATTAGAGAAAATTAGTAAACAGGAGTTGTTGGAAGGTCGACCTAGAAAACAGTTATGACATTTGATAAGATTGTTGCTAGAGTCTATTGTATAATATCTGCCTTTTAGGGATGTGTTCTTATATATGCCTAAATGTCTTTTATATGTCTTGACGAAAGAGTTTATGTTGTGAAAAAATTAAAAAAGTGGTTTTGAATTTGGAATAGGTTTATAAGATTTCAAGAGATTGTCATTGTTATTGAAGTTTTTGAACCAAATTAGTTCTGGGCCACACCATGCAATACCAATATAGGAGATGATTTGTGAATAGGATAGTTTGAAGGGACTATTGAATCATAAAAGTTGAGTAATGAATTTAATATTGAGAACATTTAACATTTTTATTGTTGATTCTCTGAGTTGAGGTAACATGTTTTTGAAAAGAAGACCAATGCTATTGTGAGTATTTCAAGATAAAAGGAACAATTTAAAGGACAGATCTGGATTTTTAGGTTTTTTACAGCTTTGGTCACATATGAAATCCAGTTGTCTTGGTTGAATTTGTCTAACTTGTAAATTAAACAGAACCAAATTGACTCCTTTTTTTGAATGAATTGAATAGTTTATATTATATATTTTTTAATGAAGGGAATGGCTAGTTTGATTATTAGATTGTTGATAAAACTACATCTTTGCCTTTCTTTGAGGAGTAATATGTTCAAGCCACCATGACTAATTATTATGGAGTTGGACATTTAAATAAAATTTTGTATACGGTCTTGATAAGTTTGTTAATTTTTGTTTGAATTAAATTGAGCAGGCTGCTGTTTAGAAAAAATATGAACAAAAAATATTCAAATTTTTCCAGGATTATCCATTCACAGATACATTGTTTGATTTCTCCCTTTCATTGATGTTTAGATAGTTCTTCTAAGATTTGACAAGTTACTTGATTAAATATCTTTCTATTGGACTTAAAAAGATTTTGTGAAGATATAAGTGTTTCAAGATATTTGATACTTTCATATAGTGTTACACTTGATTTTCACCCAAGATCATCACTACCCCTTGTCCGATTTTTACTAGCATTTACCCTTGAAATATTACCTATTCTAGAATAATTCTTGTATTACTATCTTTGCTATTGTTTAGCACTGTACTTTTTGTGCTAATGTTACTCTAGAATATTTTCTAATTTATTTATTTATCTTTATTCTTGTATCTTCGCCAGAGCATTTATTTCTATGCTAACATATATAGATAACTGTTCTGACGAATATAACACTTCTTTTATATTTCTATTATTTCTTATAACTCATAATTATCATGTACGAAAATAATATAACTCAAATATGTATATAAAGGCTCCAATTTCGTCTAGGAATTGGCAGGCTTGAACATATATTTTATCGAATAAATAACTTGACCTTTACAAAACCAATCACCATTGCCTCTTTCGCCTGACCTCATAT